GGGGGTGATGTAAGGAAAATATTTTTTCTTTAGTTCAAATAAAGGCCGCGCTGCTAGCGCCAGCGAATATAGTCAGCCTTTTTTTAGTTAGAAAACGATGCTGCCACATTCTGTCTTCAGCTTTGACAGTTGGCGCTTTCTGGCAGACAGATCTCTGGCAAAGACTTTGGAGCCTTGGTTCCGCTCGATCGCTTCTTCAATACGAGCTGTATTGAAGTTGCGTAAGTCCCGCCGCATGCATTTGGAGATCTGTCTGTTCAGTTGCCTGTATGCTGTCAAATCTGTTGAAGAATGTAGCTTCATCTCCCGTCTAACAGCCATGAAATTAAGAGTGTGATCGGAGAGTTTTTGTGTTCTTCTGCGGCAGGTCTTGCAGAACTTAGCTCCGACCGCATGGACAGTTTTCACGAGCTTGTCATTCAAATCGTCCACTTCATTGCAGTCTTCTAGGTCTGAAAACGGTTTTGTAACTCGAGCTGAAAGATTTCGGGACTTTGGATTAGAGCACGAGGGGGACGGAGCGTTGACTTCGTTAGACGAGACCTCTCCAACTTAACGTTTAGGTTCAGTGTGCCTCTAACCATTCGGTGATCGCTGCCGGTTTTCACCCTCGCGATCACTGAGACATCACTAAACAGTTGTCGTCTGGTCGTCATAATGAAGTCAATCTCATTTTTTGTCGAACCGTCGGGGCTCGACCAGGTCAACTTCCTGTGGGGCCGCTTCTGGAAGAAAGAGTTCATCATAAAGAGTCCCTCTTTTTCCATGAAGTTGGCCAGCTGCTGGCCCCTTGGGTTCCGTTGTCCTATTCCAAATTTCCCCACTTTCAGCTCACCGTTCTCTCTTGTGCCTAGTTTTGCATTGAAGTCTCTCATTAACACCGTATATTGGGTTTTGGAGGAATGCATGGCTCTAGAGATATCCTCATACATTTCTTCCACCTCCTGATCGGGTTGTGCCGAGGTTGGTGCGTAAACCTGTATGACCTTCAGCGAATATCGTTTGGTGATTCTGAGTATAAGGTCGTAACCCTCGTCGACACACTCTCAATCTTTACAACGTTGTTAACGAGAGACTTGTGGACGATAAATCCGACATCTCCTTGGGACAGATGGTCGCTCTCCCGGTAATAGAGCAAGTTGCCGGATTCGAGGATTACCGTGTCCTCCCCCTCTCTTCGGACTTCGGATAATCCTATAATATGCCAGCGTAACTTGTATATCTCTTCTTCCAGCTCCACAATCTTCTCGTCAGTCCTCAGGGTGCGTGCGTTGTATGTTGCCAGGTCGAGTCGTCGTAGGTGGCAACCGAACCTCCATCGCAGATTCTTAGCACCCCCTTAGAAATTCTTAGAACTGTGATATGTATACGTAATTATAAAGCCCAAATCATCTAGTTTACTATGATGTATAATAATCTAAGAATTATTAAATAAAACTAAAATACTTACGACATAATCGCTGGCACTACAAAAATACTTGTTCACAAAACACCGAGTGTGAAGCCATAATTATTTGTTCTTTCGTCAAGGCTTGTTACACTGTCATCTCGTATTTAGTACGTAAAATAGTTCGTCAGCTATCGACTCCAAGTACAAAACTCACAAAAATAACCGCACCTGTCCATAGATGTCAGTTTTATAAAACTTGACGCTATGGAGACTATAGTATCCAGGACGTACAACGCTACTTTTATTTTGGATAGCGTAGTATCCATGGACGTGTGAGTGGATATTTTGCTAATTTTCATGCTTAGCTTCACATTACATATACATATCTATACATATATACATGTTAGTAAGTGTGATGATGGTAGTGGGCAGTGGCGGTGTTGATACACCACCACCACCAATGTTACTACCAAGATGATGGTGGCGGTAGTAAGGGCTGTGGTGGTGATGCTGGTCGTGGTGGTAGTACCAGTGGCGGTCCACTGTCCACCACCACCACTAATGGTACTACCAGCACCACCATAATCACCGACACCAATACCAGCACGTACAGCACCACCATCCACCGCTACCAACGCCACTCTGTATTATTTTCCTTTGAAGTTTTCATACATACTCTACAACTTAGGCATTTAGCTTATACGAACACTAATTATCTAATATAAATATATACTTATAAATCTATAATGTCTTATTTTATAGTACACAATCTCTAAACTTAACTCTAATTGTAAAAAATATTATAGATTTATTGATCTATAAAATATTATTCGTCTATTTATTTCAATGCGCGTGACCAACAGCCCTTTTATTCACACTCTGACTGAGCCGGCGCAAACCGGTTTGTACCCTGATGGAGCGTCCGTGAACCTGTCGGTGAGAGCTTACGCACACATCGCTGCGCTATGTTTGGGTGTACCCGAAGCGAGTCGTTTGTATGTAGCTTCCCCTCTGGTCGGTTTCTTTACTCATGTGGTTTAACATCCTTGAACCATAGATATAACAATAATTGAACACACACATTCACTCACAAAAGACGTGTGGACAAAGACAGTGCTGTATTGAGTAGTAGATCTAGTGATGAGTCAACTCGAGTTACTAACTCGAGTTACACTTAACTCGAGTTGGATCTCCCTAACTCGAGCTTGGGCTGCTGTACGTGAACGGATCAATTGAGCCAGCAAAAGAGTAAGAGCGCGATTCGTTCGTTGTGTGCGCGCTTTGTGTTTCAAATAGTATTTATTTAGTTACAACCAAAACAATTTGTTATTTAGAATTTTATAATAACTAAGTTATGTAATTGCATTTCTTTTATAATTTTGATTAATTATGATCTATATAGTTACGTACGTCACAAATCTATTATTATTTTAAACCTTTTGTATTACCCGAAAATGGTAGTAAGTTGTAAGATGCATCACATTTTAAATTAACGCCAACACTAAGCTTACAATAAATATTTAGAATTTGAATTTATTTAAGAATATTTTGTATGTGATAAATAAATTATTAATAGCTTATGTACCTAGACCTTAAAGCTAGCCTAATATTGTTAGGTGAAGACTGTTATACATACTAAATATACCTTTTTAGTTCAATCCTACATAATATGTTTGGTAATTATAGTTATCCCAACCCACCAAAAAGCTAGACAGAAAAATAAATTTATCAAAAAGTAATTTGCAAAAAATCATTTACTCTGTTTCGTACTGCTAACACGACTTGCGTAACTCGAGTTTAAACTCGAGTTGCGTGAATTTCAACTCGAGTTAACTCGAGTCGTGATTTTTCCGAGTTGACACATCTCTAAGTAGATCATTCAAAATTATCGGTTGTTTGATCAGGCGTCAGGAAGTTGATTACAGATTTATAATGTAAAGTCAGAAAAAGTACTCGATGGTGAAAAAACATCGATGTTTATAACCGATGCATCGGAATATATTGATGCACAATCTCGATGCATTACATCGAAAAAAAAAACATCGATGTATTTTCAAAGTGGACTCCTAACTCTCATATTGAACGGCAGACATGTGTGTAGAGACAGTTCTGATATTGCCCTAATCGATGTTCACCATAGATTGCTCCTACGGCAAGCAAGTAAGTAGCCACCTTAAGGCCGGCCACATACATACGGAATTCCGTTTCGGGATTCCGTTAATACATCACACACATACGTTTATTTCCATTCGGAATAGCAAAGGTCAGTTGAGAGACATTAGCCATTGAATAATGACGACGATTTTCTAATTGCGATTCCATTATTACTGTATATTTCTTACTGGGTGCATCCCCTTATCACCCTAAGCTTGCAATATATAATCAATATTAGGTAAAAGAAATATACACAGATGTTTTTTAAATATGAATGTCTGTTAACTCTTTCGACGAATTGTTATAATAAATAAAATAAGATGAAAGGATAAGAAAAGCGATACACTTATAAGATTAAATGTAAAAACATACATAAACACTTACTCGCTTCGGTTGTGCGACGAACAATGAGCGCGTTCCGTACGGAATTTACTTTTGTGTGTTGCGACTCATACAAAATCTATGGAAGACTTGCGTTCGGAGCGGCTTTTTTCCATTCGAGATTCCGAACGCACAGGTGGTCATACGGAATCTCGAATCGGAGAAACGGATAATTACCGTATGTGTGTGACGGGTCATAGATTGTATATGAACTTGCTGCGTTCGTAATTCCGAATCGGAATATCGAAACGGAATCTCGAAACGGAATTCCGTATGTATGTCGCCGGCCTAAGACCGAGACAGACCAGCCGGGCTATTCACAATCGTCTCGGAAAGCGAAATCATATCTCAGACTCATCTACTCTCAGAATCATAGACATATCTCAGTTTTTTGTTATTTATTATATAGTTAAATTATATATTTTTTGTATTCGATATCAATGGCTAACACCAAAATATTGCCTTGTTTTTGTTCAGGCGTTACTCTGAAAAAATAGAAAATGCCTATTTATCTACAAAATTCGTAAATGCATGTAACTAAATGAAGAGAATAGTTATGGGATGTACATATATCTAAGTGACCTTTATCCGTACGTTAAATGTGAATAGCGTTTATTGGTTTCGGTGCGAGAAGTTGTCGAATCCGAGTCGATTTCGCTTTCCGAGACAATTGTGAATAGCCCGGCAGACGATTTTTTTTAAATTCTATTTAGCACAGTGTTGCCAATCAGCCAATCTCAATTTCTTGATTTCGCTTAAGGAACTGACAACTGCCAACTAGGTTTAATATTATAATTTCTATATCAGAATGCTCTGAATTAGAAGTTATATATTAATAGTGATAAATAAGTATACTACCCTTTTACCATTGGCTCGTTTCTTTCTTTGGTTCGATGTTTTACGAAAATACATCGATACATCGAGTATCTCAATAACTTTACAAAACATCGGATCGATTCGATGCATCGTATTGTAAGCATCGAGTGAATTCGATGCATCGATGTATATCGAATATTATTTTTCCTTGACCAATACGTCAAAATTTTCTATTGTAGCAACAAAATACAATTTTCCAGAACAACAATCGAGAAAATCAAGTAAAAGCACAAACATCAAACAAACATTACTAGAATAAAAAGAGTGATATCACAGTGTATGCAGTGTAGGTGCAAGTAACGATACCAGGCAAAGGAAATTGTGGTAGTAAACTATTTATTTTTATTGCGTCGCGATACGTATTCTGTAATACACGGGTCAATAATAAGTTTTAATTCTCTAAAGAAATTAATTGCGTGTGAGTATTAAAATAATAGCAATAATTTCATGTATTGTTTAATAGTAATGTTTCGGTTAAATCTGTAGTTATTCTACCTTATAGGTTATACGGTCAAATCTTATTATTGCATTTTTTTATTTGTAGTTACATCATGCTTTCTCGAATGTGCCTCGTACGTTCGACTTTAAACGTACAACAGACTTTAAGGACACCCATACAACAGAATTTTTTGCCAAAAAATTATGTAGTCCGGAACTACGCTCGGGATCCACGCTCCCGTGTTGCAACCAGAACACAACCCACACTTTGGGAAAGATTAATGGCACCAGCTGGTCCAAATGGTATGTTAAACTTCTTAATTTAATGAAATGACTGTGAAATTAGCTGAGAGACTAAGGTTAACTAAATTATTCATATTTAAATAATTATTCTTATGTTTGCAGCCTTCAGCTTAGGAAAGGGAGCACTAGCAGGAGCATCTGCAGTGGGACTTGGTGCCCTTTGCTATTATGGATCAGGAGTCAAACCTGGCACATTGCAGGAGGCACAGTGAGTTATTTGTTCTATGTTATTCTTATGTTAGTCTTAGTTGCAGTTAGTGTCTAGATAAGCAATGATTGACATTAATTGATTTATGCAAAGATAATAATAGTTTTCAAATAAGATAAAATAGAGACATATTACTTAAAAGCAGGAACTAGTCAGTACTGCTGAAATAATTAATTGCGTTTTAAATGCTTTTTTATCAAAAGAAAATGTTTACATGAGTAATTATGTTTGTTAAAAATATTTCTTGGGAGTTTAATTTTTTTATTGTACAATGTTTTAATCTCTTAAATCATCGTCACCAGCCCTTTATTCAGCATTGTAATTGACATAGTTTTATTGGGGTAGTATTCGGTATCACTATTTGATTAATATATCTGTAAATAAATAAAAAGAACCCTAAAAAGAAAATTTAACTGAACACATCTTTAGTAATTTAAATACTAAATGCTCCACTTTTACCAGTATTTCAGTAGGGTTGTCACATGAGAATAAATACAAGAATTTTGTTGTTTAAATTATTCCTCTTAATAGTACAGTAAAGATCCTCTGATTTAAAATTGCAAGGATCATCAAATCTAAATCTACACGCCCTTTCTATTTTGTTTTAGCAGTTTTCAGCATTTTTACTCTATTTTAAATGATGAAAGTGCTAAAATGTAACAAAAATACAAGGGAGGCATGTGTTTTAGATTGGATGGTCTCTACTTCTTATATTAAACTTTTTTTTAAAATAAATTATACATTCAGTATAGTGCACATATTTAAGCCTCATTTTCACCATCACACATTGGTGTGGTGGTGAAAATGAGGTGAGTCAAAACAAGAATTGAAATTTTGTTGACCCATTACAACCACTTGAGTTTCCCTTGTAAATAACGTTGATGACTTATTTTATTTTTCTGTTAAAAATATAATAAAAATGCAAAATTTTATCGGTTTAAATAGACAAACTTGTCTGTGTGATCACAGCACTTTCCCGGAACGTCTCAAAGTGCAAAATCAGGTAGAAGACATATGTACTAGTGATTTGGGAGCTGATGGTGTTTTAAATACATCACACGGCACAGTAAGCACTGACATACTTGCTGTGGAGAATATATATATATATATATATATATATATTACATGTTATATATTTCCATGGTGTGTTTTACTACTGTCAAATGCTTAAATGTTCATGAAATATGATGACAGTAAAACTTTTTTTTTTGTACTTCAGAGGATCTTCGGAAATTTAACTTCTGTAGTGTTATTGTCATTTAATACTTGTTTGAGACTTATATTGTGATAATGGTAAATAATAAACATAATATTATAGAACCAAAGATTTATTCCATGTGCCTGCCTACTGCAAAAGTTAATAATTAAGGCTACATATCTCCCACTGTTATTCCTGATCTCTTTAATTTTGTTTATTTGATGAAAAAATAATAACAACTCTATTATTATAAACTTTAAAAATGAGATCCCAAACCTTATTCTTCTTTTATTTTAGCCTCTGGCCTCAATATGTTAAAGATCGCATTAAAGCAACATATGGTTATATTGCGGGTTCCCTTGTACTGACTGCAGGAAGTGCAATCACAGTTTTCAGAACACCTGCTCTACTAAATTTAGTGGCACGTAATGGATGGATGGTAATTAAATTTATATCAATTAAATAAATCAATTTAAATAATATATTTTTTTAACTTAAAAATGAAAAATGTTTTATTTGCTTCTGTTAATAAAATATTTCATATATTTTTTTCACACCAAAAAAAAATACTGATTTTTAAATATTATTTATACATTTCAGTCAATCATCTTAACACTTGGCCTTATGATTGGGTCAGGCATGGTAGTGAGAAACATGGAATACAAACCAGGTTTTGGAGCAAAACAGCTGGCTTGGATAGTACATACTGGCATTATGGGTGCTGTTATTGCACCCATTTGTTTCCTTGGCGGTCCCATTTTAATGCGAGCTGCATGGTATGTATGTATTATAGAATATTTACTTCAACACAGGTATCAGCCTTTAAAAGGTAAGAGGCTGATGAAAGATAAAGGATATATTATATCCTGTTTTGTTATTTTAATAATTGATTCCACTCACAGGACATAAAAAATAGATAAGTTGCTAGCTAGCTATCGAATACTATAAACTTGGAGTGATGATCTAAAATATTTTTTATTTTGTAGTTATTAATTGAATATATTTAATTTAGGGCCGATTTTACAACTCATCAGATAAAATTATCTATCAAATAAATTACAACCTCACTGAATATAAAAGTAACACACTTTGACTATTTTTTTGTACATCTGTAACTATTAATTTGTTTATGTTGTGTTGTATTTATAAATTTTAATTGACGATTGTAAAATCGGCACTTAGACAATTTCATTTAATTGTAATAATATATGTTTTGTACGTTGTACAGCCATGCTGCAGCTATATTATGGTTGTAGCACGAATGGGTCGGCTCGACCGGGGAAGGACCACGCCCTCACAGAATACCAGCATAAAATAGTAGCTTAAAGCTGTTGTGTTTCCTATGGTGAGTGTAGAGAACCGGAGACCCTTTTTACTGGAAACGAGGCATTCCATCTTAGTCCTCATGGCTGACAACGCATCTGCATTTTGATTTGCAAACAAAAATAGGTGTAGATGTTTATGGGCCACAGCAACCACTTACCATTAGATCAACTGTGTCCTTGTTTGTCACCCTTAACCTATAAAATAAAATCTCCCTCTTATTCCACTCATCTTGCTGTCTCATCTGAAGACGAATTTAACTTCTATCATAATAATAAATAATTGATAAATGTTTTTCTAGGTACACAGCTGGTGTTGTAGGGGGTTTAAGCACAATTGCCATTTGTGCTCCATCGGGTGAATTCTTAAACATGCGAGCTCCATTAGCAATGGGTCTGGGTGCTGTTTTCGCTGCTTCGCTTGCAGGCATGTTTCTACCTCCTACTACTGCCCTGGGAGCAGGTATGAATAAATTAAATACTCATTATTATTAATTTTTTGATTTTAAATTTATACCCCATAAGACAACATGATAGCTTGGTCAATAAAAGACTTATATAAAAAAATAAAAAAAGTCAACGGCAATCAACTCAGCTGGGCAGCGATTGGCAGATTACGACACATCTTCTCGTCACATATACCTCAGAACTTGAAGAAAAAAACCTTGATGTGCAACAAGTGCTTACTGCCAGTGTGACATATGGATCTGAGATGTGTCCTTCACTGCTGGCCCTATGCGGAAGCTGAACTTCGCTAAGTGAGCTATTAAAAAGTCTATGCACAGAGTTTCTTTGCACGGCAGGCTTCACAATGAGGATATCTGTAGTAGAACCAGAATAACCGACATAGCCCAACAGATCACTACGCTGAAGTAGCAATGTGTTGGCTTTAGAGCTTAGAGGACCAACAATCAATGGGGAAGAAAGATTCTTGGGTCTTTTTATACTGGTAAGATAAGTATAGGGCTGCCTTCCCACTAGATAGAGTGATGACTTGGTAAGGGATGTGAGAAATCAACAGATGTAGGTAGCTCAGTACCATACTTTGTGGCATTTTTTGGGGAGGCCTAAGTTAAACAGCGAAATTTGAGATGGGTCATAATTAGGATGATGATTATTGGAGCGATAAACAAGCTAACGTCTACAATCTACATGATGTTAGGTGGCTACCACAGCCCATGAGACATAAGCAACAAACCTTTAACAAAGAAATAACCTTACATCCTGTAATGAAAATGTTATCCTCCAGGCAGAAATTCTCAATGGAGACTACACATAGAATAGAATAGATTTCGGTCGACATTACTATTCTGTATAACGAGAACTTGGTAAATGCCGAAACAGATAAGCAAATAAAATATTAAAATATCTATCACAAGGTGACCGACATGTGGGGTGGCCGCCCAACTGAAATTATTCCTGTAGTCGGGTCATATGAGATGACTGGGACATACAGAAGGCGGTGCACCTAGATAACGCCCGCATCGTCCGCCGGTTTCTTTCCCTTTCCCCCTCACCCGTTTCCCCTCGGCCGTTTGATCTCCCCTTCCGAGGGCCTCCATCTGGTTGGATTTTTATTTATTTATGTTACTATTTATATCTTTATACGGCCCAACTAGATGAAAAATAATAATGTTGTCTAAACCGAATTTCGGTCACAGGATTATAGGGCATGAGTGTGTGCATAAGCACATCTGCACCCTCTATTATATAAACATCACCTTTTGTAGCTTCATGGTAACTGCTGGTACTTCTGTGTATGCTTGTCTAAAGGTTACAAATTTTTAAAAAATATGACTTCAAAGAAGATACTTGCGGCGTTTCTTTCGTAGTTTCTTTTCTGGTCAGAGAAACCTCATTTCGAAATGCGAAATACGAAAAATGATATTTGACAAACGAAAATTTAATTGCTTATGTTGAAGAAATAGATATTTTATTTCATTTCCTCATTATTATAGTCCGATGGTACGACTATCCGATATAACAGGACAGAGATCCGGTGCAGAACTAACCGCCTTACATGCTTTCTGAGGCACTGTATGTCATGTTTTATTTTCCAGGATTATATTCATTAAGCTTGTATGGTGGGCTGATAGTATTTGGTGGTTTCCTGTTGTATGATACACAAGCAATAATCAAGCGAGCAGAAATGCATCCTACTTATGCATTACAGCCCTATGACCCAATAAATTCGTAAGTAAAATTATTTGTTAATTATATTTTGTTCTTTAGATTACCCAAAGTTGGCTTAATAAGTATCAACATGCGTCTATACAAAGCAGTAAGTAGTTTACACTAACACGTGTTTGGGACAGTTATGATACCAATGCGACAACAGTGCTAAGACGGTGTATAGAAGAATTTAAGCCCAGACTTCAGAAGTTATTATGTGGTAGAGCCATGCTGCAGCTATATTAGTAGTATACTTGTAGCACGAATGGGTCGGCTCGTCCGGGGAAGGACCACGCTCTCACATAATATCAGCGTAAAATAGCAGCTAAATGCTGCTGTGCGTCATTTGGTGAGTGTAGAAAACTGTAGACCCTTTTTACTGGAAAAGAGGCATTCCATCGTAGGCCTCACGGCTGACAACGCATCTGCATTTTATTCGCAAACGAGGATAGATGTAGATGTCTATGGGCCACAGCAACCACTTACCATCAGGTGGACTGTGCGCTCGTTTGTCACCCTTATACAATAAAAAAAAACTATTATATGGAAATTATTATAGGATCAGATATCAAGTAACATACATAAAAAAAAATTGTACTCTTTCTCTCGCGTCACACGTCTACTTTATGTTTATGTATACATCTTATTTGTATTTTGTACCATATAAATGTACACAAAACTATTGCAATGACTAAAGTTTGTACCGTATGGACTCGCTATAGCTACAGTATATGAGTCAAAAAGCCATTATGATTGACTACCATTATTATTATTCAATCTTCAAACATCCATATCTCAAACTGCACTTTTTGCTTTTGTTTTTTTGACAAGAGCAATGCCTTTCGTTATTTTGTACCCCATAAAAAGAAACAAATAGACATTGTACTCATATTGACTAAATTACTCTTGTCACAAGAAGAAAAAATACAATATTTTAGTATGTTAATTGTATATGCCATGATAATAGCTCAAGGGTTCTGCACTCGCGGTAAATATCACAATAATAATATATCACAATAGCGAATAACCGGAATTCGATTTTCGCCGACACCAATGAAATTATTAATTGGAATTTTAAAATATGACTGCTCTGTAGGGTAGTGGATAAGCGTTAGGTCGCGGCGCTTCAGGACCCCGGGTCGAATGCCGCACGGAGTGTTGTATGGCCTATAAATAATTGTTCAGTGTGACGATGTTTTGCCTTAAAAAATGCAGCAATCTAAGCATGTAAAATGCCTCCCCTGTTCAGTAAAACATTTATTGTGTGGAGAGAATGTTACAAAAAAAATGAAATTATGTATACAATTGTTTATCACACAGATAAAAGAGTAGATTAACCTAATTATATATTAGTACCACATCTGTAGTACTGAACAGCTTTCGAAAGAACATCTTCAAACTATTTTTTTGTTAACAGGGCCATTTCAGTATACTTGGACGTCCTGAACATCTTTATGAGGATTGCTATGATCCTATCAGGCTCTGGAGGGAACAGGAGGAAGTAAACTATTTCTTCCAACTACTTCATAGAATGAAGAATCTTATTTGCCATGACTACGATTTATTCCCTTACTGCTTTATGCCGATATACTGAATGAATGGCATCACATGATTGAGCTACCAAATTTTAATTTCAAATGTGATAGGTATTATGTTGTTATATTTAGCTTTCGTTAAGTTAACTTATGTTGTAATTCATCAAGGTGTAAGATACAGTAAATTAACTAGTAAATGTTAGATACATACAACCGGTGTTTTATTTTGAATCAAATCATTAAGCAACCGTTTTTAAATTAAACAAACAAAAATCCACTGTAAATTAACCTATGAACATCAAAAACACCTGTACAAGGTAATTTATATAATGAAAGTAATATTTCCATTTGAAATCCAGTGCAATACATAAGTCTCTTTGAGATAGTGGGAACTTGAAAGAAGTGAGGTTCTAGCTGATTCTTCCCTTGCACTTGTGAAGCATTCCCTTATCACCAGTAGTGCTGCTATATAGGAAAATAATGCTGCACAAACAGTTCAGTTTTATGAAGGGATCATGATCATAGACGCTGTAAAGCACTCGAAACGTCGGGAATTAAAAAGTTAAATCAAACGCAATAAAATCCGTAAAAAATAGTTTCATTTAATGTGTAGTCTTCGCGTAAATATAAGAAATCATTGTTTTAAATTTTTTGTCTGTGTGTCTGTCTATTTGTCCAGGCTAATCTTCGAAATGGCTGAACAGATTGTAATGAAATTTGTCGAACAGATAGAGAGCAATTTCACGAGTGATATGTTTTCCCGAAAACTTGAAGATCTTTTAGTAAATCGAAAAATTGATAAAATAAATGGTCTTTGATCATTATCTTAAATGTAAATAACGCCTTTAATATATTATTTTAATATATCCAGGCGAAGTCGGGATAGTTCGCTAGTCAAGAATGATTGCTTCAGCATACTATCCATAACATGTATAAAAGTTATATGCAAGAGCTTTTTTTTACAGCTACAACCCTGAACAACAAAAAAGTGAAAGTTAGCATTTTTTCCGATTTAGCTAGGTATTATGATTTCATTACAAAACCTTTCCATCATCTATCATATGATATTACTATTATCATTTATAAGAAACTCATTGAAGTTGTGCTACGTAGAATAATCAAATATTCGTAAATTATTTAATTCTGATCTAAGAGTGCTTAAAAGATTTAAATTTTAACCACTGTCTTTTAATAAAGACGCTATAACAAAATAAAGTTACAGCATATGTGTACGTCTTTTCCTAACCACAGGCCTCCACTTATTCCTTAAATGGTTTTAGGGCAAGTAAGCCGTGCGCGTCGTGGAGGATTTAATGTCGTCGACATCATGTTCTCAAACATATAGGTTTCCTCACGAAGTTTTCCTTCACCGGTGACCACGTGGTAAATCAGCAATTAAAACTGCAATTAACAACATTGGTGGCTGCGGGGACAGAACCCGGGTTACACGCGTATTGTAAAATTTACAGCGAGCGTTTAGACCATGACTACGGCCCGCCTATTATAGTCTACAAGATATTCCATAGTTGCCTTATGAATAGAGGGAGATTCTAAGAGATTTTCTTTGTCCGCCTGCAAAACTCAATTGCTGGACACGGGCCCTCCCTTTGTTTCCCTAAATCATCATGCTTCGCTGGCGGATTAGAGATTGTAGTACTAGACGTCTTCAGGGCCGGATTAACCATTAAGCAGATTATTCAACTGCCTAGGGGCCCCGCGCGCGCACAAAAATAATTGAAAATTTTTCACACAGTAGAAATTTTATCAGTTTATATCCTTAATGACAATAGACTTTCATCATATCCTAAAGTCAGTAAGTAACCACGCTGTTATTTTCTTTTTGCATTGCTTTATATGTAGGGAGTAAACTGGAATAATTTTATTAACTTTGTTATACACAAAAGGACCCGAAGAACAGTCAAATCTCCGAACATATCGAGCCATTACCGCCGAATTATCGTAAGCGACATTTTTACCTAAACAGCGTTTTTTGTCGCAAACCACATTTTAAACTATAACGGACTCGGTTTGTCGACATTTCCCGCCAAAATATAATCAATTCGAAAGTTATAGCAAATGCTAAGTTTATCGTTAGCACAACATTTTTCTATATTTTAGAGTAACCGACATAATCAATGTATATCGTAAGTTGTGTAATTATCTAAGAATTGCAGCGTAAGCGACCCTACTTGTTATCGCAACCGACACAGTACATCAAAATTTTGTCGTTTACTATAAGCAAGGTTGCAAAAAACGTATTGCGATGAGCTCATTCCAGTGAAAATTGTGACGCAATAACTATCTCTCTGCATCTATTTAGTATTAAATTATAATTAATTATGACAAGCTCGTGAAAACTGTCCATGAAGTCAGAGCTAAGTTCTGCAAGATCCGCCGCAGAAGAACACAAAAACTCTCCGATCACACTCTTAATCTCAAGGCTGTTAGGCGGGAGATGAAGCTACAGTCGTCAACAGATTTGACAGCATACAGGTAACTGAACAGACAGATCTTCAAATACATGCGGCGGGACTTACGCAACTTTAATACAGCTTGTATTGAAGAAGCGATCGAGCGGAACCAAAGCTTCAAAGTCTTTGCCAGAGAGATGTCTGCCAGAAAGAGCCAACTGTCAAAGCTGAAGACCGAGTGTGGCAGCATCGTGTGGCAGCACCGAGACACCTGAGATTTTGAGTGAGATTGAGAGGTTCTATGGGCAGCTGTACACGTCATCGTCATCACGTCGTCACGCCAAGAGCGAGTCTTATCCGACACTATTCCGAAGATATCCCGGACGTCAGTCTGAGCGAGATTAGAATGGCTCTCCAGCACCTTAAAAACGGCAGGGCCCTAGGTAAGGATTCCGTCCTCCATCTCCACTCTCCACTCCAGAGGCGTGGAGCAGAAGTGTGGTGGCCTTGTTCTTCAAGAAAGACGACAACGCTCTCTTGAAGATCTATAGACCGATTTACCTTCTGAGCCGCGTCTACGTGCTGTTTTCGAGAGTCATTACGAATCGTCTCGCACGCAGACTTGACGACTTCCAGTCTCCCGAACAAGCCGGTTTCCGAAAAGGCTTTAGCACCATAGACCACATACACACCCTTCGGCAAATTGTACAGCAGACAGAGGAGTGTAATTTGCCACTTTGCCTTGCGTATGTGGACTATGAGAAAGCTTTTGATTCCGTCGAAATTTGGGCAGTGCTGCAGTCCCTTCAGCGGTGCCAAGTTGACTGTTGGTATATTGAAGTGCTGAAGTGTTTGTACACTGACTTTGCTACGATAACTATCCGAGTACAGAATCAGAGTACGAAACCTATCCAACTGCAGAGAGGTATAAGACAGGGTGACGTTATATCCCCGAAACTCTTCACCGCTACATTGAAAGACGTTTTCAAGCTATTGGACTGGAAAGGATGCGGTATTAACATCAATGGCGAGTACATCACTCACCTTCGATTTGCCGACGATATAGTCTTTATGGCAGAATCGCTGGAGAACCTAAGCACTATGCTCAATGACCTTAATAGTGTCTCCCAACGGATAGGTCTTAAGATGAACATGGACAAAACAAAAATCATGTTTAACGTCCATGTCACACCTATGCCGGTAGTTGTTGGGAGCACTAAGCTCGAAGTTGTTAACGAGTATGTTTACCTGGGACAAATAGTCTGACTAGGTAAGTACAACTTCGATCGAGAGGTCAATCGATGGATTCAACTCGGCTGGGCAGCGTTCTGGAAACTACGGCACATCTTCTCGTTAGATATACCGCAAAACCTGAAAACGTAATTGTACAACCAGTGCGTGTTGCCAGTGATGACTTACGGATCTGAGACGTGGTCCTTCACTGCTGGCCGTACGAGGAAGCTCAAGGTCGCTCAGCGAGCTATGGAGAGGGCTATGCTCGGGGTTTCTCTGCGTGATAAACTTAGAAATGAGGATATCCGCAGTAGAATCAGAGTAACCGACATAGCCTAACGGATTAGTAAGCTGAAGTGGCAGTGGGCCGGCCATATAGCTCGAAGAACCGACAACCGATGGGGAATGTTCTTGAGTGGCAACCTCGTACCGGCGGTACGAAGTGTTGGGCGTCCCGCCCACTAGATGGAGTGACCACCTGGTAAGACATGCAGGAAGTCAATGGATGCAGGTGGCTCAGGACCGTGCTTTGTTGCATTCCTTGGAGGAGGCCTATGTTCAGCAGTGGACTTATGAAAGGCTGTAATGATGATGATATAATTACCTAGTTATCGTGTGATAAAACTAGGTTTTATTAAGTTTAAAGTGGTGCGATAGTGTTGTATAGTGTTTAGTAAATCACTGCAGTTACTTTTGCAACTCTACGAAACGTCGGCAAAGGTATGTAGGAACACATTTAAGTATTTTTATTTTGTTAGTAAATGAATTTAAATAAATAACCAAAGGCTATTAATTTTTGAATAGCGAATATTCGTGGCTTTGCCTGCGTGAGAGTGACCACGTGGCTTTCGTGCTTAACTTTGGTAATCACTAAAGCGTTGCCGCCACTGAGCGTTACCTACTTAGCTAAAGTAATTATTGTTAGATGTTAGGTTTTGTATATAACTGAACCGACTGGGGAAGTACCTACCTCTGCCCTACAGTTACAGTAAAAAAACCCTATGTGTCATAAATCTGTATGCAGATATTTGTGTTGTGCAAAACAGAAACCGTGCAATGATATCCATGTAATTTTATTTTTTGAAGACAGCAACTACGATTACTACAATAAAAGTAACTTATCTCCTAACTGGACACACTATTGACTCCATTCACAGTGCAATTGAAAGTTTTATCCGTAATAAAACAGTGTGGGCTCCTTCTGAGTGGCCAACTATGATCACTTATTGTAGATCCGATCCAACAGGTTATTTTGTACATGTTTTGAATTATACTGATTTTATGGACTGGAAGTCTTTCTCGCAAGCTTTATTGCCATCGAAATTTAAAATAGCCTTCAAAATTATAAGAGTGCTTTAGTTTAAAAAGAACAATCCAGTAATTACACTCCAATATGGTTTTTTCGAAGATAGCAATAAACAAATGTTGAATATGGATCTAATTATTAGATCAATACGGCAACTATAAGAACTAAAAATTTTGGCTGCAAAGTACAAAGATCTTCTGGATCTGTGTAATAAAAATATAATACCATGCAGGCACCATGAAGAGTATGTAAATATGAAAC